AATCGGGGTGAGCTTCAGATGTTGCTTTCCAGGTTTTCCCCTGTTGGTGCTTGCTTACAAGAACCAAAATTACACTCAGCTGTTTTCCAACCTATCTAAGGCTATAATTTATTGTATTCTTCGGATCCTTTCTCAGATGGGACCTTTAATGAAAGTGCCCTTCTATGCAATGATATTCTGTACTGTCAACTATTTGTCCATACCTCGCTGCATCACACTGCAGCCCGTATCCACTTGAATAAGTGGTTTACAATATGTTCTTTATATCTCTCTCCTTGAGCATTTTTTATCCCAGATTTTGCCTTTCTAGTTTCATCCTTACCACCACCACTTCGGTTACTTGGTGATTTTAACGCCCACCATTTCCTCTGGGGGGGGGTCTCATTGTGACTCGCGTGGCATCCAGTTGGAAGCTTTTCTCGCCTCTCGCCCCCTCTGTTTTAAATACGGGTACTCCCACCCATTTTGATCCTCGTACTCATACTCTATCTTGCATCGATCTATCAGTCTGCTCTTCATCCACTGCACTAGACTTCACCTGGTCTGTTCTACCGGACTTACATGACAGCGATCATTTTCCAATCATTCTTCTCCTTCATGTTCACCACTTTCCGTAGCCCTCACTGGCAATTGGGACCTTTACTCGCAACTCATTGCTTTTAGTGAGGTTCCTTCTTCATCCTCCATTGATGAGCTCCTACACCTCTTCTCGATGTCAGTTTATACCACAGCTTCTCATTCTATACCCCAAACCTCAGGCAGGCATTCTGAGAAGTGCGTGCCTTGGTGGTCTCCTGCTTGTGCTCGTGCAGTACGTTTGAAACGCGCTGCATGGGGCAGGTACCGATACAATAGAACCACTGAGAGACTTCTTGATTTTAAGCAGAAGCGTGCGATCGCTCGCTGTGTCATCCGTGATGCTAAACGCACTTGCTGGCGAGACTATGTTTCCACCATCACCTCTGTTTCCTCTGTGACTGCAGTCTGGAAAAAAGTGAGGAAATTGAGTGGTAAATACTCTCCTGACCCGGCTCCTGTTCTACGGGTCGACGGTATTGATGTAGCAAACCCTCTTGACGTTGCCATTGAAATTGGCACTCATCTGGTCCGTATTTCCCGGGGGCTCCATCTATGCCCCTCGTTTCTTTCCTCAAAGTCTGCCAGAGAGTTAGTACCCTTGGACTTTTCTTCTCTCAGAGAAGAACAGTATAATGTGCCTTTTACACTTCAGGAATTGGAGGCAACACACTCAGCTTGCCGATCATCGGCAGCTGGGCCTGATGACATTCATATTTGTATGTTACAACATTTACATCAGTCAGCCCTTGTAGCCCTCTTACACCTCTTGAATCTTATTTGGGCACAAGGAGTTCTTCCCCAGCTGTGGAAATCTGCCATTGTTCTCCCTTTCCGCAAGCCGGGTAGTACAGGACATGATGCCTCCCACTATCGTCCCATCGCTCTTACTAGTGCAGTTTGCAAAGTGATGGAACGTCTGGTAAATCAACGTTTAATGTGGTATTTAGAGACACACAACAGTCTCTCCGCAAGTCAATATGGCTTTCGTAAGGGCTGTTCTACCATAGACCCCTTACTACGCTTGGATACGTATGTTCGTAATGCCTTTGCTAATAATCACTCAGTTATTGCCATATTTTTTGACCTTGAGAAGGCATATGACACAACTTGGAGGTATAATATTTTGGCCCAGGCCCACTCCTTAGGCGTCTGAGGCAATCTACCATCCTTCCTTATGAACTTTTTAACTGACAGACACTTCCGTGTTCGAGTCAATAATGTGCTTTCCCCGGACTTCGTCCAAGCTGAAGGTGTCCCTCAGGGATGTGTTCTGAGCACAACACTTTTTCTCCTTGCTATAAATGATTTGGCCTCTGTTCTTCCACCCAATATTTGGTCATCACTCTATGTTGATGACTTCGCTATTGATTGTGCAGGCGCTGACTGTCATCTCATTGCAGTTTCTCTCCAGCATGCAGTCGACCGTGTTTCCACTTGGGCCACCACGCATGGGTTTAAATTTTCCAGTACCAAAACTCACCAAATTACTTTCACTAGATGCTCTGTCATCTCTGATCATCCTTTGTATCTCTATGGCTCCCGTATCCCTGAACGTGATACAGTCAGGTTTCTAGGCCTTCTCTTTGACCGTAGGTTATCCTGGAAACCTCACATTACCTCTCTGAAGGCAACTTGTCACAGCCTTGCTCATCTTTCCTGGGGAGCTGATCGTCGAACTCTCCTTCGCCTACATTCAGCCCTCATTTTATCGAAACTTGATTATGGTGACCAGATTTATTCAGCGGCCTCTCCTGCTACTCTCTCTAGCCTTAACCCCATCCATCACCAAGGATTACGTTTATGCCTTGGTGCTTTTCGCTCTTCCCCTGTTGAGAGCCTCTATGCAGAAGCGAATGTTCCATCCTTGTCTGATGGCCATGATGCCCATTGCCTTCGCTACTATGTACGCTCTCACGATTTCCACAATCCTTCCATTTATAGAATTTTCACCGATATTAGTAGACATTCTTTATTTGTTCGCCGCCCCTGTTTGCTCCATCCCTTTTCTCTTCACCTACATTCACTCTTGTCTTCCCTTCAGTTACCACCTTTATATGTTCATGTAGCATCTCACTTTTCCCTGCCCTCATGGGAAGTTCCAGCTGTTCGGGTCTGTTTTTTCTCACTCCCTTGCTCGAAAGCCCAAGTGCCTATGGTGGCTTCCCGCTCTCTTTTGCTTGATCACTTCCACTCTCATTCTCATGCCATTGCTGTGTACACAGATGGCTCTAAGTCTTCAGACGGTGTTGGATTCGCAGCAGTGTTTCCGGACAGTGTCGTGCGGGGGCATTTACTATCTTCGGCTAGCATTTTTACTGCTGAATTGTATGCCATTCTTGCAGCACTTATTCATATCGCATCTATGCCTGTGTCATCATTTGTGGTAGTCTCAGACTCCCTTAGTGCTCTACAGGCTATACGAAAATTTGATACATCTCACCCCTTAGTTCTCTGTATCCAACTTTGGCTATGCCATATCTCTACCAAGCATAAAGATATTGTTTTTTGTTGGGTCCCTGGTCATGTCGACGTACAGGGCAATGAACAGGCAGACACTGCTGCGGGGTCAGCTGTACATGACCTACCAATTTCCTATAGAGTTGTTCCATTTCTGGACTATTTTGCTGTAATAGCTACCCACCTTCACACCCATTGGCAACATTGTTGGTCAACTCTTCTTGGTAACAAACTTCACTCTATTAAACCGAGCATAGGTTACTGGCCGTCTTCTTGTCATCAGTGCCGAGGTTGGGAGACTACTCTCTCCCGCCTTCGCATTGGCCACACTCGTCTTACTCATGGGTATCTCATGGAGAGGCACCCTGTTCCTCTCTGTGAGCAGTGTCAAGTTCCAGTATCGATTAGCCACATTCTGTTAGACTGCCCTCTCTATCAACGAACACGCAGAATTTACCTCCAACGTTGTCTTTGTTCTACTACTCTCTCTTTACCTTCCCTTCTTGCTGATGGAGTCTCCTTTAATCCTGACTCTCACTGACTTCTTGACAACAACTGATTTACTCCACAAACTCTGATGATACCTTTCGCACTCCCGTCAGCCCTTTCTAGCTCAGTCTCTTGCTGCCCTTTACCCTTTCACCATCCACTGCCCCGCTGTTATCCGTAACCTATTACTCATCCATCTCCCTTTTGCCACCTGATGCCCTCGCTTCCTTCCTGCCCTGCAGCATTGTATAGCCCTTGTGGCTTAGTGCTTCCTTTTGATTATAATAATAATCTGCCCAATGCTTCCAACAGTCTCCTCCAGAGACTTCTCCCGAGCCCTGCACCCCAGCAGCAGCTCCACTTGAAGTCTCTCTGCTCAGAGCTCTGCATGAATCTCTTCTGCTCAGCTGTTCCTTGAGCTTATATGGTGGTCCAAGCACCCTCCACAACCACGTGTACAACCTGACGCCAGTGACGAACAAAGGAGCTGATACACAAGCCGAAAAGGCGTGTCTCTGACAGACATTTGCCAAGGCAAGGTGACCATATAATTGATTAAATTAGGTCTCTGCAGAGACCTCACAAGCCCAGCTGAACTATATTGCACCCTGGCTAAAACATATAAACTCACCAGAGAACAGTAGGGGTAACACTGCAAAGTTGCTGTTTTAATCGAAAATCACGGTCTCGGTTTTTATTCTCTCATAATACACTGTGCTGCAGGATTTGTTTTATGTGGTGCACACATACCACATAGATGTATTTTCTCATATCTAGGCCCAAATTTACCAGTCATAGCTTATCAGAGTGAGCTGAGCTCATGGCATAGATCTTCAGCACAGACCCTGAAAGGGTTAATAAGTTAGAACAAAAAGACACAATACCATGAGTGGAACAATATACAGTGGACCCTGACATAGGGATAAACTTCTCTCTAGTGTGTAGGTTATTTGTGTAGTGTAAGTAAGTTTATTGAGGTACAAGTACACATAAGTACAATTATTATACATAGTGTAAATTACCCTCCAGGATAACCTAAAAAAGTGACTTATTTTCAATGGGGTCCTTGACTGCATACTAGTGGCTGTCTTTTGTGCTCATCGATATTTTATTACATGTAAACTACATTATCCATGTACAGCATTTAAGAAGAAATGAACGGTTGAATTTGAAATTGTAATAACACGATTGCGAATAAGCTATGGAACAGGCGGGGTTTCAACCCATGGCAAGCGAGTGGTAAAACTCTAGGCCAGTGTGTAAGCCACTGGGCCAGATGGCTAAAGTAAGATTCATCCAACCGTTCAATGGTTTAAATTTAAATTTGAATTAGTATGGTTTGACATTTGAAACTGAATTAGTAATACCCAATATTTGAATCTGAACTGGTGTTACCCGACATCTGAATTTGAATCAGTAATACCCGACTTTTGAATCTAACCCGTCAGTTGAATCTAAATTTGAATCGGTAGTACCTGACACTGGTTCAATATAGTCAAATGTGTAACCATCTAGTTGCATCATCTCTGTGGGTTCGCTCTTCTTCTCTCTGTAGCTACACATAGCAAAAGTGTACTGGGAAACTTGCACTAGACAAAAGTATCGCCTTTTCCATTTCTTCCAACAACTTTTTCCTAGAGCGTACAGGTAACTGGGGGAAAAAAGAAAAAATAGTGAGTAAATTAACTTCACATTATTTTATTTTATTTTTCTCAACACACCGGCAGTGGGAGAATGACACAGCATATACTACAACTATTGAAAATTTTAACAAGCTATGTGTATGACAAATAATTACTGAAGATAGAAAATCAAGAGCATAATTCAGGGAATTACACTCACACAGACAAATACACAGGGATGGGGTCATAATAACGACATAAAATGCTGAGAGGAATTGACAAAGTAGATGGGACAGAATGTTTCAGAGGTGGGCACAGCAACAAGAGGTCACAACTCAAAGCTGAAAACTCAGGTGAGTTACAGGGATGTTAGGAAGTATTTCTTCAGTCACAAAGTTGTCAGAAAGTGAAACAATCTGGAAAGTGATGTATTGGAAACAGGATCCATATACAGCTTTAAAAAGAGATAAAGCTCATGGAGAAGGGAAAGAGTGGACCTAGTAGTGACCATTGAAGAGGCAGGGCCCAGAACCCTTGCAGCTGTGGAAAATAAATTCCCATAATTATACTGTATATATTTTTATAATGCAAATATACGTGATTAATGCATTACTGTTCTAAACTGTATTTTGAATAGAACCAACCGGGTTCGCCCTGCACCTGCGCAGATGTGCCGGGGGGGACAGGTCGAGTCAGGGCATGGAGAGGTGGGCGCGTTTGGAATTGAGGGAAGAGGCTGGGAAAGCATGGGACCAGGAAATTGGCGTTCACGGCGGCCTAAGGATTAATATAGGCCTCACTTCATAATAGGAAGTGTCGTAACTGTTTCTGATGAGTGAGGGAACGTGATTTACAGGACCACCGTAATAAAGTGGTAAAATTAGTGAATAATGGTGGGACCGGTGGTGACTGGCGTGTTGCCATGGAGTGTCCCGGGGAAAATACCTGTGATCTAATCCTCACTTATCGGTCTCAGATCTTAATGGAGTGACCTCTAATGTGTATAATAATGAGACATTAAATCGTCTTGTGAATTGTAACGTAATCAGTGATAATAACACTAAGTTAAGAGAATGCGTGAAGTGAAATAAGTCGCCTTACTCCGAGTGAACACGTTAGACCACTTTGTTCCCGTCCTGAGGACAGTGAAGTTTTTATGGAGTCACGACTTCTAAATCGGGAGAAACCAACGGATATCTCGTCCTGCTGGAATAAGAACCGTGTTGGTGTAGCAGGACATCGAAATGAGATGGTGAATGAAGGAAATAAGGAGCATCAATCACCCTCAGTTAAGTAACCTTTCTAGTTATAGCAGACTGATACTGGCCAGTTAGGTATGTTGTATGGGTGATCCAGCTACATCAAGTGACCACCAGAGAATATCTGGTAAGTGGTGAGATTATGTACAAGTGTTTTTCCTTGATGGATATATCCATGTGTAACCTACCCCCCCTTCATTCAGTTACACTAATATAATCTATACAGTCCACAATTAATTAGTAGCGCCGTACTTGTGGGTGCTATCCAATCTATACTGGTCTCGGATAGATATGGATAAGATTGTGAGGTCGAAGGCCCACCTGCAGTGACCAGGGGTGGTGAAGTTTTCTCACATGTCTACACTGGGTGACTACGGTAAACAACATAGTGTTGTCTCCCAATGAGATTACTTGTATGAATATAATGTTGAGGTACATACAGGTAACAGCCTAAAAAAAATTCCATAGCAACCACAACTAGGTGAGTACACAGTTACACAAATACCAGTAACACACAAGTAGGTAGGTAACTGCGCATTATTATTATTAATCGTCAACTTTAAAAAACATACATATTTCATACTCACCCACAGTGTTTAAGATTCTGTGGTTTATCCATTCTAAAAGCAATCTTAATTTTAAGGTTATTTTCAGGCGAATTTTTCGGTACTTGCATCTTGTACCATTTAGGTATCTAATGAAAAAGGAACAAAGTTGAAACACTGGGCTACCTATAGTACAGATGAAATGTATATTCAGTTACATTTTTGTAATTCTATACAAATACGGGCGACCCCCTGATGCATGACTGGAGTTTACCTGGAGAGAGTTTCGGGGGTCAACGCCCCCGCGGCCCGGTCTGTGACCAGGCCTCCTGGTGGATCAGCGCCTGATCAACCAGGCTGTTGCTGCTGGCTGCACGCAAACCAACGTACGAGCCACAGCCCGGCTGATCAGGAACTGACTTTAGGTGCTTGTCCAGTGCCAGCTTGAAGACTGCCAGGAGTCTGTTGGTAATCCCCCTTATGTGTGCTGGGAGGCAGTTGAACAGTCTCGGGCCCCTGACACTTATTGTATGGTCTTTTAAACTGCTATGCACCCCTGCTTTTCTTTGGGGGGGGTGGTGCACGTTGCCAAGTCTTTTTTTTTCGTGTGAGTTTTTTTCGTGTGCAAGTTCGGTCTACCCCCTCTAGATTTTCCGGGTGTATAAATCATGTTCCTCCCCCCTGCGTTCCGGAAATACGGGTTTTTAGAAACCCAAAACGCCCCCATAATTGAGGTGTTTTTCTCCGTTTGCGCGCCGTGAAAGTTCTCTGTACTTTTTTCTAGGTCGGAAATTTCACCTGCTTGAAAGGTGGTTAAGTCAGCAATATTCCAGCCTAATAGAACAAGTGACCTAAAGAGTGTCATCAGGGGTTTGGGGCTCCCTATTTTTTGAAGGTTCCATTATCCATCCTGCCCATTTTTCTAGCAGATGCGATTGATACAATTTAGGGGTCCTTAAAGGTGAGATCCCCGACATAATACCCCCAGTTTTTTGACGTTGGTGTTTCGCTCTATTTTGGGGCCAGAATTTGTTTTGTCTCTGATAAGATTTAATTTCCTCTGTTTACCATATCTGAGAAATTTGAAATTTCTCATCTTGAATTTTCATATTGTTTTCTGCACCCCACTGAAAATTTGGGTTGATGTCTGTCGGGGCCCTTGCAGTGTCTGCAAGGGAAGACACGTCAGCAATTCGGGTGTCATCTGCAAAGGAAGACACGGGCTGGGCTGACTCCTTGTCTATTCGGTATGGGGAAAAGGGAACAAATGGGAGCTAGTACTGTGCCTTTGGGGGAACAGAGCTTTTCACCCGTAGCTGCCTCGACTTTACTCTGTTGAGATACCTTGTTTTCTGTTGTGGGGGAAATTTATGATCCCGACCGACTTTTCCTTTATTCCTTTAGCACGCATTTGGTGCACTATTACGCCATGGTCACACTTGTCAAGGTTTTGCAAAGTGGGTTTAAATTTACATTGCATTTTTTTTGTTTCTAGTGCATTTTTGGACCTTGTCGTAGTGATCCAATAGTTGGACAGCGGAGCGACCTGTTCTAAACCCATGTTGCCCTGGGTTGTGTAAATGATGGGTTTCTAGATGGGTGGGGATTTGCTTTTAGGACCCTTTAAAAAATTTTTATGAATGGGAGTTGTGCATTTGGCGTAGTTCTTTGCTGTTGCTTTCTGCCCCCTTTGTGGATGGGGGTATATCTGTTGTTTTTATAACTGGGGACACCCCCGTGTCCTGCTCCCTCTCCATAGGATGAAAAGGCTCGTGATAGGGGCTTCTTGCAGTTCTTTATGAACACAGAGTTCCATGAGTCTGGGGCCCCGGGGGGAGATTTCATGGGGATGTCATTTTATCGCCTGTTCGAATCATTTGGCGTCAGGATAACATCGGGTAGGCTTTTGTTAATCAAATTTTGTGGCTCTTATAAAAAATTATTTTGATCTTCGACTCTCAGTCGGTTTCACTTGTTAAAAACTGAGTCATATTGGGACTTGAACTCACTCATTTCCTTGCTGTATCTGTTAGGGCCCATTTGTTTAAGTAGGGCCCAATATGGACGTTTTTTCCATTTTGATTTGGCATAGGAAAGAAAAACTTTGGGTTTCTTTGATTTAAAATTTTTGGCTTTTATTTTTCCCGCTTTCCCGACTCCTAAAGGATTTTTTTAGCTTTAAATTCGATGCTTGCTATTTTTCCCGACCAGTGTCTCCCTACGCATTTCAGATCATTGACCTCTTTTACCGTCTGTTTTCTTTTTCCCTCGCCTGTAAAGGGAGTGCCTGTCTCTTTCATTTTACATTACTCCCCTTTTTTCTTAAGGAAATAAGCCTTGTGCATACTCGAGTGCCCCGAGTTATCTGTTTTGGCATAAGTTGGGGGCGGTTTCTTTAAAAACTTTTCCCCGCTTTATCGTTTAGGACTTGGTTTATTGGTCCCCTTTTTTTTTGTTATTAAAGTTGAATTTGGTGAATCCCCTCGTGACTAGTCTCTTTTGTCGGGCTGGGGCCCACGCATACATGTCTGAACCCCAAATTATTTTGATTGATATATTGTTTTTTGTATGTGACATTTCTACAATCTCATTGTTAGTGAAGTGAGGTCTAGTGTATTCTCCAGTCTTAGGCTCTATTTTTGCTGGTTTAAAATTGAATTTTGTGCAGGGAAATTTTAAAAACTCGGTGAGGTGAGTTTTCATCAGAGCTCCTCCTGGGGTTATTTTGCAACAATATATTTGCTTATTCCTCCATTTAGGTGCCTTAAATTGAAATTTCCAGGGGCCCAAGATGTTGGGTGCGGGAAAGCGGAAAATTTTCCAGACAGTGGTCAATTTTTAACACCCTTTTCCCTGGAATTGCGGGGGTGTTGCACCCGGGAGGTTGTAGACTACCAAATGATAGGTTTTGGTTCTGGGACCTTTACTGCAAAAACCCTTCCCTCATCATTTGGGGTTTTTAAAAGCAGTTCGTGCAAAAAGTGACTCTGCAATGAAAACAGGCCAAACCCCCCCCTTTTGCCTTTTCCCCACTCTGCACATCTGTATAGGTTGAAACCCCTGGGACCATTTTTGGGTTTCCAAGTGATCCTTTATGTGGGTCTCAGGGGAAAGCCGCAAAATTTCCCTTTGCCTCTGAAAAGCTTCCACGGATAAAGGGGTATTTTGTTTTTTTGCGGGCTTTAGCCCCTGTATATTTCCCAAAGAAGAATTTTTAACCCGGCG